AAGGTAGAATTTATCTAGTAAATATATTATTCTAGCTAGTATCCCGCGACTTCGCACGCCTAAATTATCGCCTATGTCACCCGCATATGAGCTTCCCGTGGGTGGAATAATTTTCATGATCGGATCAGTATTTCCGAAGTTTATCCCCTACAAATAAACAAAAAAAAATTAAAACATTTTATAAAGTTACCTTTCATTGTACGTATGGATCTATGTTCGTCAAAATTTGTAACTGAAATTTTTAAAGCAGATATCCTCAACTTCAAAAGCTGAAATTTGTGGACAAATTTAATTTAGATGACAATGAATGGACATTCCAAGATGGCGGTTTAGTTTTTTGTTCACCGTCATGACGACGCTACAAGCCTTTACTTCACAGATGTTTTGACTAATGTGTGTTGTTTGTGAATTCAGGACATGCAGAGTTAGAAGCTAGACGAGTTCTAATAAATTTTTGAGAGTGCAAGTCCTACGATCACGGCTTGGCAACATTTTACATGAAATGTTTTTGTCGGGGTGCCTACGTAATAAATATATTATTTTTCAAAAAATAATAGGCGTCCTAATACTTAAAGATATATATGAGGATAACATCACACAGGATTTCAGTGACAAAAAATATTAAATCAGCAAATTTGAATCAAAGGGTTTTAGCTTTACAGACCACTTATACGCATTGTTTTATTACATGAACACAAATACATACTAAATGTGTGAAATTGAAATATAATAATTACTCGGCTTATGGGCCATAATCCATTTTAAAAGCAATTCACCATGTTATGCCATTTCCTTTAATAATCCATTTTAAAAGCAATTCACCATGTTATGCCATGCCATTTCCGGTTTATGTTAAGTTTTTTTTCTGTAAATGATTTTTCATATGGAAGTTCTTTATTTTCCTAGTTGTTCTAATCTGGATAGAATCGTATCAAATCAAATAAGGGGAATGGGCCATGAACCACCACGTGGATCCAGTACGGATTGAGTATTAACTGCAGATGCGATCGGGATCAACGGCTTAACGTAAAGGCACGTAGGAGCTCAAGGTAACATATTTTTAGCCACCCATCTTATGACTGGCCACTTTGAAAATTGCTTAACAACCGGGACGCAAACCAAGCACGATAACCACTGCACCATTGAGCTTACAAAATAATCAGAATGAATAATATGTTATTTAACATTATGCAAGTCGTTTTTATTTAAAAAAAATAAGCCCAGCACTTTGTGTAAATCCAGAAGAAGTTAACAGGACGTACCATCCAAATTACCAAACGGCAGACGGCAATCGTGACACTTCGTGTTTATTGTTAGCTCCAACAACATTATGCTATTTAAAAGTTGCGTTATATTAAGCACGTGTTATTTTAGAAACAGGAAGGGGAAATTCTACACATATTTTAGTAGGGCATTTAAACGTCTTAAGCACTTCAAAAGATATGGATCGGTTGTGGGTTCCTTTCTTATATAGACAAATTGAATCAAAATAGGACTCATCAATTACATTAACTTATAATGAAATATTTTTCTTGAGAATTATATTTTACGTATGCAATACACGTTGTAATTATTAAATATTTTAAACTAATAATTCTATTTGTCGCCTTTGGTTAAATATTCTTTCAAAAATTTAAATAATAGACCTTAATAAATGTCCCACTTAAATTCTATTTAATATGTACCGAATAAGGATATAATATTTTTAATCACGACAGCATTATATTGTGATTTTTATTAAAAAATGTAACATTGTCTAATGCTAAACGTATCATGTGTTACCGATTGTGCCAAATTGGTTTTTATTTTGTAAAACTTTGTATAAGGCTTTTAACTTTTTACAGAAGGAAGCATTACGTAAGCTGCCCATAAAATTGAGAAATCCAGGAAAAGCCTTTTGGTATGTTGCGATTTGTACAAGATATCCTCTATTAGATCATCTTGACTACACTAATACTCTAAAGAGAAAAGTTTTTATATCTTTGTTCTATGTGTTTGTAATTTCAAACTATTTTTAATTTTGGTAATTGACTGTTTTGTGGAGAGATAAATCTTGATGTTCGTATTTGCACGTCGAATTTTTATTAATTGAAAGGGTGGAATCTCTCAACCGATGTAATTGTTTTTGTAATAATATTTGAGGCACTGTGACCTAATGAGGCCCACTGATTTCAAACGCTGGTGTACTAAATAACCAACAAGTGTATATCTCTATAACAGTTCCACAGTGACAGAGCCTTAAGGACAGAATAATGTAATTTAAAGCTGGTTCTAATAGTTTACTTTAACGATCAAAACAATAGGCCTTATTAGGCGACAACGATTTATTTATAAAATACTGATATGACTTAAAAATATACAGTTTTCATCTCAAAATTTTAAAAAAAAAGAAGAGTAGCGTGACCAAACTGTATAGCTAGTTCAGAAATATCCAACAATTGATGAATTTAGTGTGTCATAAAATAGATTACACATGAGCATTGCTATTTTTTATGAATACATTATTCACTTCCTTGGGTTTTAACTTACATTACTTACGTCGCACAGTCAACATCATAACTGAACAAAAACAACCGCTTGTAAACGTATATAAGTATAGGTTTCCCAATAAGTATTATAAAACTTTCACACAAAGAAATGTTTATCGGAGTATTAAAATGGAAGAAAATAATAACATATTAGAGTCCTTATCAATATGGAAACATTGGATTGTTAAATAATTGAACGTATATCAGATGAGAAACATTGTAATTACCAACTATATCTTTACAGTAAGTACAAATATTTTTGTATAAAATAATTATCAATTTTTAAATGATATTGCAAAATTAATCAACTTTAACAATACTACAGAAATTTCGATGATATTGCAGTACAATGAACTATCGCTACAATCTTTTTGAATTGATATTCCTATTTAATAATGACTAATTGTCAATCTTTAAAAAAAAAACAAGTTAAATGACTAATGTATATAATATGATTGAACATGCAATACAAACAGTTGACAATAGTTCATTGCGTAATATTATATTTATTTCATGTCTATTAAACTATTTATTTTTAAACAAAAAGTCATGAAGATATGACATCTTGCTTGACTATTACAATCACACACAAATTACGCGTAACACGTGTTCATCACACGGAAGCCCATTCATAACATGATGTACATACATACATATACGATATATCAGGGGAATCTAAAGTACAACCAAAAACTACTTAGACTCCACATTTAATCATTTTAAACCTATTTTTTGAATATGCATCTTTACTGTTACATGATTATACTTCGATTTCACAGAAATTTTGTTCTTTTTTTATTATAGAACTTTGCATCAAAACTCATAAGAAAATTGACTAAGCTCTAGAAATTTTAATACTCCAATAGATCCCGTTTGCAGCCATTCAAATTATTTGCTCACGTATTTTCCAGGAAAACTTAAAATTCTCACCATCGATTTGTCGCAATGTATTCAAAGAATATCAACACGGCATTCATCGTGTGACGACGACAAAAATGTAGGATTACATTGGGCCTAGTATTCCCGTTCCTTGAGGTCGTTGACATGCAACGTGCTGTACAAAATGTGAGGGAAACTACAACTTCAAGATATCTAATCGAAATTATTTAGAATTCAATTTAAAGGTGATAAATATTATTTATATAATAAGTTGCGATAAATAAAATTAGGATAAATTGATTGTTTTATACAAGAGTCATTCACCACATGGTGACGTCAGTATTTATATTTTAGTAAACAAAACGTATAATATTAGTATTGGTCGTGAGGCGCATGACCAGCAAATAAATAAAATGACCTAAAACGCTCTGCCATTCACTAGTTCGGCTGTTATCAATCGTCAGTGTGGAATTTGAACGTGAATCATCGACAAGTGGCGCTTTTACTTGGGACTCGAAGCTATGAAAGAAAGAGACAGCTGCATGTACCACCATTCAGATTTAATTGACTGGTTACGAACGGACCCTGCCGTAGGGACGTAACGTTAGTTAACATCGACTTTCTAAACATTCCAAATTCCTAGTTCCTCTTGGAATCGCGTGCTTCGTCAAATTTTCCGTTTAAGACCTTCTGAATTCGTTTTATATCATTTTTATTGTGACTGAATTTTTTTATTATTTATTAATTCTTAGTAGATACGCTACGTTTCGTAACATTAGCGTGTAAACACGAAAATATCGATAATACGTTCGTCACTAGATAGCGTCGGTATGTCGATGACAAAAACACGTAGTGCGGGAACAGTGGGGAGCGACCGAAGATTAAGGTCCTTCTAAAATGCAGTTGGCCTACCTAAGCACACAAGTGTTTTTTTATCATCACCGAGAAACATATCGCGTATTATGAACCTTACGGCAAACGTTTTAGAATATTTGATTGCGCAGTGCTTTCGAATATTGCACGCTTTGGCCCTCAACTGGGTTTTAAAACGGAATCGTAGGCATAGTAAACAATTGCTGCTCTGATGCGTACAACTTGTTTGTATAAATTGTACTCATTTACGTATTGACATTAATAAATAATTGAGATAAATTTACCCAAAATATGTATAGTAATTAATAAACAGAGTTGATGCGTGTTCGATATGATAATAAATGCTACGTCATTGTAGATGTTTACCGTTTTATAGATTCTTATACATTTTTATGTTTTCATGCAAACAACTGTCGGTATAAACATTTCCTTAACCGAGTTCGTATTATTTAATATAATGTTGTTGTTGATCACGACCAAGCACGATACACATGTGCGACACCAATGGAACGAGACACTATTAACCTCAATTCTAATCATTTCATTGATGTAAAAAAGTACACTTATGGGTCGCTTCCTATAACTATATTGTTTCCGTCCGATAAGAGTTAATTTATTATTAACTATACAATAAATATGGAAAGTACCAATAAATATAAGCCATTAATCACGATACACAAAACGTTGAAGGTTTATATTCTCAAGTGAGTTTATACTTACTCGAAGAGGGAACTGCATTTCCGCCTTCCCTCCCGCTCATCGTAAGTAAAAAAAACTAAGTGGCACCACAATTATGACCTCTTCGGTACATTCATCGTTCACATGAATGAAAGGCACTATAATATCGCAATGTTCATTAATAGTAATGTTTTGCGCGCATTCTTAATCTTATCAACTATCAAAAATTGGGTGCACGCGAGCGGACGCGCCTGCGCGCGAAGCGACCGACGACTCGTACGCAAGTCGACTGCATCGAAACTAAGTGACAGTGGTGTAGAGGCGCGTAGTTGGCGAGCCGATGCGGTCGCCCCCTTCCCGGATATCGTCGAAGTAAAGTTTAAAATAGAGAAGCTAACGGAACGTGTGCACTGGCCGAAAGCGCCCGCCGCTTTACCCCAACTAGAAATGTGTCACTTGACGGCGAGAGCTCCTTGTTTTCTTCGTAAAGGGCACGATGCAGGGTGAACGGCACCATCAGCCGCGTACCGTACAACGCCCGAATACTTAAAGCTCACAAAAAAATACTTCTCAATACCCTTCAGGTCGACAATGAAAGGGGTTCTGTATGTGATATGCAGGACTTGTGATCTCTTTGTTTTGTTTTGAGTCTTCTTTAGAATCCAGTTTTTCCATAGCTATTAAAAATGATTACCTTTTGATAATGAATAGTAATATTATATTTCATTGACATGCGTAAAATGTATTAGGACTCTATGTTTTTACTTCTAATCACTCACGAATTCAACTATCTTTCTTTTTTCTGCTGCTCATAAAATGAATGAGCATATTTTTTTTTTAATTATGTATGGTAATACCATTATATATATAACAGAATTTTTGTCTACATAATTTAATTATAAGACTGATGAATTGGATGTTGAATTACCTTGTCATTAGTAAAAACTTAGATATTAAAATGATTCAATTATTATTTTCTCATCTCTTAGATGCATTAATATTGACCTTTCATCCCCCAAGTAATTCCTACATGTAAAGTAATTTAATAAAAATTAAAAATGGTCAATTAATTAAATTAACATAAGTAAAAAAACATAAATACAACGTGACAACACGCACACAATCCATAAAAATGCTCTCGAATGCAAAACATAAAATAAAATATCAAAATATGTTATATGTATTTTTAACTGCTACGAAAGCCAAAAAAATCGTTAAACTTTGAAGTATAGTAGAGAAAAGAGTCACTATTTTTACCTGCACTTGTATACAAAGTTTTTGATTAAAACAGAAAGAAATGGAAACATAGAGTATAAATTACTCACATCAAAAATTCTACGGTGGCGTCGTGTAGGTATAGTCCATAAGTTCCCAAAAATATGGTTAACCGAAGCGATAGTTGACTCATGCGTTATGCTTGTGAACTGGTGATGCTGGTGAACATTGAAATTCAACCTCTATGTATGAAATGAAACAGGGAGAAACTTTTAACCTTTAGATAGGCCTTTACCGGCTTAGACTGCATAATTGAATTTGAATTTCAGATAGTTCAGTAAATAATTCAAGCATTCATCCTGAGGGACAATTCAGAACACTCTTATTTTCTGGTAAACCAAGGGAATTCTACTTAATGACTACACAAAAAATGGTATCACTATAAATGGAAAAGTCTAGTTTTCATAATTGAACACTGTGTTATTATTTTGACGATGAATGGACGAGGAGAGTAAATAAAAAATGAGCTCCATTTACACACTACGCCATCGAGATATAAAAGGCCGGTCAGAGTAGGAGTGATCAAAAATATACTATCTCGAGCTTCTCCGTGCTGTGGAAGGCTAGTTAAATCATTAATTTCGGCTGCATCTGCAATCGATAACACCCACCAATTACGCACTGGGCTTGCGTTGTGGTTTATAGCCCATCTTCTCTATTTTGTTTGGAGTTGATACAATCTGTAGGGAAAGCCTGTACTCCAGCAGATTTTGGGTCATTAACAAGCTGACGATGAGCTCTTTATTCACGACTAGTCACCGTTGTCCAATGCACAACTTGTGACTTTTGTGCATGGATTGGTCTTTCATAACTTTAAATATCACTCTTATTATCCAGCTTTAACCCCAATTTATTATTATTTGTTCCTCAAAAATAGTAATAGAGTAGCTCGGTGGCGTAGTGTATAAGCGCCGCGGCGCGCAACTTTTGGCAATAATAATAAAAATAATAAAATCTTTATTTGCGCAAAGATGGTTACATATGTTGTTAACAATTTTAAATATCCAGCATATTTTGTCGTCAGGGCGACGAGCAAATATTATTAATAAATATACAAAAATGTCAACATCAAAATAATCATTAATAAAATACAAATTGTCCTTTATATGAAAACAAATTGATAATAGAAAATAAAAAAATAATAATGTCAGAATTTTAAACAAATAATTATGAAATAAATACAAATTATCAATTATCAACGTGGCAAATTAATTATGAATGATTATGCAAATTTTTACCTATTCCCTATTTAACTAGAAATAATCAAAATATCAATGTTATTCCCAATGATAAAGTTAAGAAATTTACGGTTACATGTCATGCATTTTTATCTTTGAAATAGACAGTAATTGTATAATATAATTTATCGATTTAAAAATCAAACAAACGCCTTCTGACTTTAGTCAATAAATAACCAACTTTTATCTGATTAGGTAGACAATCTTATACAGGGATTGCCATACAGTACTCATATTTCGAAGTCATTACTAGTCTTTGACTAAGAATACGTAAGTTAAGTCCTTTCCTACCTCTATAAACAAAGTCCTTATTTTGTTTGAACATATGGAAATATTATTTAACGAACACCGTCATTTCAAATGTGAAAAAAATATGGAAGTAGTAAAATTTTCAAAGGTTATAGTAAAGGCTTACATGTGTCCAAATAACTTGCACGTCAGGCCTTCCATTTTACACATTTTTGCTGCAGCTTCATACTTCAGAAAAACTCAGCTCGCATCTGAATTACCTCATAATATGAGACTATAACGCGTCAAAGAAGAAACATAACCATGATATGGCGTGATAGCCTATGGTTGTGATGCAATTTGCCTTATCCTATTAAAAACATAAATAAATCTGTCAAGTTTGGTTACATACTACAGTGTCAACGTGTGCTTCCAATTACAAAATTTGTCAATAGTGATTCCTAAAAACTTGATTTCATTTACTTCTTCTATACTTTCGTGATTTAAATGAATGTTTTCTTTTTTATTTTTACTGTGTAATATTTTTAATCTTATGTATTTAGTTTTATTTATATTTATTTCATTTCATTTCACCCTCCAATCCGCATTGGGCCAGCGTGGAGGGTTATGGCCCATCCTCCTTAACCATCCATAAGGAAGGCTTGAGCCCCTGCAGTGGGGACGTAAAAGGGCTGGTGATGATGATGATATTTATTTAAAATTATTATCGACTAACCATTGTGATGCCTTTTGAAATTAAGAAAAACATAAATATATCATCGTTACCTATAATAATAAAAGTAGTATCGTCAACGAATAAAATGCATTTTTTGTCTATGACATTTGTTAAATCGCTTATATAGAGAAGCGATAGGGGAGGTTCTAGTACATTTCCTTGAGGTACACCACACTTATTCTGACGATATTCAGAATTATATCATTTCTTGATATTACCTGCAAATTTAGAAATTTCTAAAGATTGCGTGCGGTAATTTTTACAAGGATCTGTGATAGGATAAGTGACCATAAATATTACACACACACATTTATAAATAAATCAGTATATTGACTATTAACAAAAGCTACCTTGCGGTAGGTACATTGGGTAAATGAATAATAGTGCAGTTTTAAATAATAGCAGGCTATTTTTATGAGAAAGATTTCAGTGCTTAGCGCATTACGAATTAGTGTTAAAAAGTATAAAATGCATCCATGCTAAGCGGAGCGGAAATAGAGATAAAACATATTTTATTAAGTACTTTTAATTTTCAAGGCTTGAGTTCATAGTTTATAATAGTTTCTCAAAGTCAAAGTCAAAGTCAAAATAATCTTTATTCAAATAGACTTCTTAAAAGTACTTTTGAATCGTCCAACATTTTTTCCCTACCACTCGTTCAGGACGTCTTTTGGCTGATAAGAAGAACGAGCAAGAAACTCACCAGCTCTAATATGAGTAATGACATTTACAAAAACCATGTCATTACCAGATCAATACATTATAAACAGAGATAAAAAAAAATATGGTCTTATAATAATAACATAATCATTTAATAATAATGGAAACAAGATAATGAGTTTAGAAGTAATCACCTATCCAGTTGCTGGATCATCTCAAGTCCAAGCGTTCTTATCTGTTATATAATCGGATACCTTATAATAAGCTTTTTTAATAAGTATTTTTTTAATAGTAGATTTAAACTGCATGATATCTAATTGTTGTATTTTGCTTGGGACCTTATTGTAGAAGCGCACACAAAGACCCCTGAAAGAGTTATTAACTTTTTGCAGTCTAGTGACAGGCACCGTTAATTTATTTTTATTTCTTGTATTAAAATTGTGTACATCACTTTTTATAGAAAACAAACTAATATTTTTACGAACGTACATTAAGTTCTCGTATATATATTGAGAAGCAACAGTCATAATGTCTATTTCCTTAAATTTCTCCCTTAAAGAGTCCCTAATCCTAAGATTATAAATTGATCGAATTGCTCTTTTCTGAAGCACAAAAATTGTTTGTATGTCGGCAGCATTTCCCCACAATAGGATACCGTACGACATAACACTATGAAAGTAACTGAAGTATACTAATCTGGCAGTATCTATGTCAGTTAACCTACGTATCTTCATTACGGCATATGCTGCAGAGCTAAGTCTACTCGACAATCTATCAATATGTGGGCCCCACTGTAGTTTAGAATCTAATGTTATTCCTAAAAATACTGTGGTATCCACAAGGCCCATGTTCTTATCTTTTACATTAACATTTATATCTACTTTTTTAACATTAGGTAGTACAAATTTTAAGCATTTTGTTTTTCCTTCATTAAGGAGAAGATTATTTACATTAAACCAATGTACTACTTTAGCGATAGAATTATTCACATCGTCATTTAGAGGTAACCCTCTTTTAATTTTAAACAAGAGTGAAGTGTCATCCGCAAACAAAACTATTTCGTGATCATCCCTTACGAAATAAGGCAAGTCATTTATG